GAGAGAGTGAGAGAGAGAGAGAGAGAGAGAGAGAGAGAGAGACTTCCTTCAGCAGGCCTTATCTCAAGTTTTCATAACCTTCATAAACAGTGCTACCAACTAGGGATCAAATATTTAAACAGTGAACTTATGGGGGACATTTTCCATCAAACTGTCACAGACACTAGTGACATTTTAAAGTTAAAAGTAGCTACTGAAAAGCAATAGTGGTCACTGGGCAGTAGTGTCATACATCTTTAATCTCGGCACTTGGGAGGCAGAGGAAGACAGATTTCTGAGTTCAAGGCCAGTAAGGTTTACAAAGTGAGTTCCAAGATAGTCAGGGCTACATAAGGAAACTCTGTTTCAAAATCTACCCCCCACACAAAAAAAATATCAATCAAATCACTTACCATCATTTCTGGGTGCTATGGGATAGACACTGTGTTAGAAGCTTTTATGCACTAAGCCACCTGAGCTTCACAACAGCACTAAGTTACATACTATCATCCTGATTCTGCAGCCCAGAAACAAGGCTCAGAGGGCCCATGTTGTCCTGATTGGTAGGTATCAAAGTTGGGATTTGACTGTTGGTCTCTCTGTCCCCAGATCTACTGCTTCTATTGTGGTTTTGTAAATAACACATCCAATTAAATTATCTGGACAAGTGGCCAGAGAGATGGCTTAATGGTTACAAGCACTGGTGGCTCTTCCGGAGGACTGGGGTTCAGTTTCCAGAATTCATGAGGTGGCTCACAACTATTTATAACTTCTAGGGGTTCTGCCTTCCTCTTCTGACCTCTGTGTGTATTGTATACATGTGGTGCACCGACAAACATTCAGGCAAAATATCCAAACACAAAATAATTGTTTCTGAAAAATTTAAACAAAATGCATGAGAGGCTTTGAAAGTTCTTCATAATGAAACAATTTGAATACGATAACCATTGTCAGCATACTGCTGTAGATTCCTCTGCTCAAAATTTTTATATGAATGCATGTGCATGGATCATGTTCTCCAGCTGGCCTTCTTTTTCCCTTAGCAGCACACTACAGGTTTCTTTCCAACTTGGCATGATTTATCTTGCCGCTTCCTTAGCATATCATTGTTTGCAACATGTCATATTTATCCAACAAATTCATGATGGTGGTCCAAAGCTTGCCTTAGGTGGGATCCTTGAAAGAAGAGTCTGGGTGCTCTTGTACAAAGGATATAGAGTAGCTGTAGACTGACTCCTTGTTGACAGTGACAATAGGGACAGTAGGGATTGTTCAGTGGGTACAAAGTATTGCCATGCAAGCATGGAGACCTGAGTTCCAATCCCTGACACCCATTTAAAATTCACTGAGCATGGCTGCAGGTACCTGTAACCTCAGCCTAAGGAAGCAGAGACAGGAGGGGCCATGCAGCATCGGGAGGCAGAGATGGGAGGGTCTTCCCCTGAAGAACATGTCACCTCCATCTCCAATTCCTACAACCAGAGGAAAAGTAACATTCCCTATTTATCACAAAATATTAGCACATTGAACAGAATCATCAGTAATGATTTAGTGTCATCTAAGAACTAGTCTGTATTCAGATTTTGTTTTGTTTTGTTTTTCAAGACAGGGTTTCTCTGTGTAGCTTTGGAGCCTGTCCTGGAACTAGCTCTTGTAGACCAGGCTGGTCTTGAACTCACAGAGATCTGTTTGCCTCTGCCTCCTGAGTGCTGGGATTAAAGGTGTGTGCCACTACAGCTGGGCTGTATTCAGATTTCTTCCATTTAATTGTTTTTTAAAGTTTTCAAGATTCAGTGGTGGCACATGCCTTTAATCCCAGCATTTGGGAGGTAGAGGCAGCAGAATTCTGAGTTTGAGTCCAGTGTTATAGATTGAGTTTCAGGACAGCCAAGGCTACACAGAGAAACCCTGTCTCACACAATTTTTTTAAAAGACTTATTTATTTGTATTTTATGTGTATGGGTGTTTTTGCCTACATGTATGTATAGCACATTAGTGCAGTTCTTGCATGGCCAGAAGAAGGTGTTAAATGCCTCCACCACCCACCTAGGAACTGGAATTACAGACAGTTGTGAGCTGCCTTCAGGGTGTGGGAATTGAACCTAGGTCCTCAGAAGAGCAGCTAGTGTTCTTAAATGCTGAGTCATCTCTCCAGTCCCCCACATAAATCAAGATAATGTCCCATAGATTTTCCTACAGGCTAATCTGATGTAGCTTTAACCAGGATCCAAGAGAGGTTCATGGTTCTTATGTGGTTTCGATGTCTCTTAAATATCATGCAATCTAAAACAGTCCTTCTCCTTTTCTTTCTTTTTCATGTCCTTCTCTTGTTTGAAGAAACTAGACAGCTGATCTCTATAGTCTTCTTCCTTTGAACACCAGCATTAGACTCTCAAGTCCCTCCTTGGCATTTCTACTTGAATATTTATAAGACTCCTCAGACGGAAAAGGCACCTTTGCTGTTGCTCCTGTTATTTGTTTGTCTTACAGTGTAGCCCAGCCTGCCTTGGACACAGTCCTTTTTCATTAGTCTCTAAGAATATTCCCAAGTTTCTGGATAATTGAGAGTCTGAGTAAAACTAGATAAAGCAAAAATTTTGTCTGAGCTTACTTTCTGCTGCTGTGACAAAGACACTTTGACCAAAAACTTGGGGAGAGAAGGGTTGGTTTGTTTCTATGTCTTGATCACAGTCCATCATGGAGGGAAATCAGGGCAGGAACTAAATCAGGGCAGGAGCGTGGAGGCAGGAACTGAAGTGGAGACACACGAAGGAATGCCATTGACTGGCTTGCTCTCCATGCCTGGCTCAGACTGCTTTCTTATACCAACCAGGATCACCTGTCCAGGGTTGGGATCACCCACAGTGGGCTGGGCCCTCTCACATAAACCAAGATAATGTCCCATAGATTTTCCTACAGGCTAATCTGATGTAGAAATTTTCTCAGTTAAGGTTCCCTCTTCCGAGATGATCCCATTTTGTGACAGGTTGACAAAATGATCCAGGAACAAAAACATAGTCCCTTGGGAAAAGGGAACTCTTCGATAAATCACATCACAAGGCATTTTTGCTATGATTTCACTACATCTTATATAAATATATAGTGATGGAAAGGGTAGGAAAGGGTGCACATCTCTGGGTGGGAGAGAATGACAATTTTCTTCTTATATCTATACTTTATAACTCTCTTGAACACATATGCTGTTTTACTAATGTTAGAAGACAATTTTTTAAAATTGAAAAGACAAAGTTGGACTTGCTGGCATGTATTTGTAATGTTGACACTCAAGAGATGGCATTCAAGGTCATCCTCAGCTAAATAGCACGTTTGAAGCCAGCCTGGGCTATGTGAGACCCTGTCTCAAAACCCAAAAACAAATATAAATAAGTAAGCAAAATTTAAAGAATGTGTCTCAAGTCAAACTCCTCATCTTTCCCCCAACCATCTCCTCCTTCATCTCCCCCATCTTGGTGAATGGCTGCTCCACCCTCCCAGTGGCTCTGATCATGTGTCTTCCCTTTCTCATACTATCCCTTATTGTGGCTTCCCTTCAACAATGACAACAAAACAAAACAAAAACCCTAGAGTCTGATCTGTTCTCTTTACCAATATAGGCAAAGAGGTGCAAAGGAAATTCATGGAGTAAGTATAAGTGGCCAAGAACATCTGAAACAGCATCCCAAAGAACGATGATGCCTAGTGCTGGCGAGTGTGAGACTCGGTGCTGCCCAGGGGTGGTGGCAGGGCTGCCTTGAGGTCAGATAGTAAGAGCCCCCTCTGACCTCTCCTACAGTCCCTTCGCTGGACCTGGGGAAGAAATTGAGTGTGCCTCAGGATCTGATGATAGAGGAGCTGTCTCTCCGCAACAACCCGGGATCCCTCCTCTTTCAGAAGAGGCAGCGCCGGGTGCAGAAGTTTACCTTTGAGCTTTCAGAAAGTTTGCAGGCTGTGAGTAAGCCATCATGTGCTCTTGGGGAAATCAAGGCCAAGAAGGAGCCAGTGGTTAGTGTAAAGTCAGTGAGCCAGACTGAAGACCTTTGTGGATGGAGGAGAGTCGGTGGAGCGGGGTGTCCTGCATGCCCTCAAGAGATTATGCTCTGGGCTGTTTACATCATGTCAGATGCAGTTCACATGTCACTTGGTCTTAGGTAGGAAGTGTAGAAGTAGAAGGCCATAGAAGAACTGGCTGTCAGAGACAAAGTTAAGAATGGGGGCAGGGTGTTGGTTAGTTGGTTGAAAGCTTGCCTGGCATGCAAGAAGCCCTGGGTTCCATCCCAGCAACACACAAAATCAGTGTGGTGCTGTGCTATGCACTTGTAATCCTAGCATCTGGGAGGTGGAAGCAGGGGGATCAGGGTTTCAAGGTTGTCCTTGGCTACAGAGCAAGTTCAAACCCAGCTTGGGCTACATAAATAATCCTGCCTCAAAATACAACAAAATAATGGTTTGCTGGTGGCAAGTAATTTTGGAAAATACTAACAAAGCCCAGGGCATTTCTCCCTTTTCCACTCAATTTCTGGACCTTACTGGAGTGGGGGAAGAAATGGGAGGAGAGAGATGGCAAAAGGGCCACCTTTGCCAGGTGCTTGAGACAGTGCTTGGATATGTATGAGGTGGATATGTCACCATTATCATACCATCAGTATACCACCACCACCCCACCCCTCCACCCCATCCGACCCATCATTGCCATCACCACCAGCAACAACCCCGCCCAAACCAACCACCACCACCATCCTCAGAAGGGAACTGAGGATCAAGAAGTGTCTTATTCTGAATAGTTTTATAGTAGCAATGAGTGCTACTGATATTTCTCCATCACAGGTATTGGATCATCCCTGTGAACCATCTACATTCCCAGGTTGCCTGGTCCCCTACATTCTCGCTCTACATCCCTTAGGTGGTGGTGGTGAAATCCTGGCCTCTTGCTTCTCTGAGCGTCCCTGCCCGTTTATTTTCCTCCACAGCTCCTGGCGGGAAGTGTCCGAGGGAAAGGGACTGGCAGAGCGGCACAGGAGAAGGTGAGGAGAGACCCCTTCGACCAGGGACAGCTACGGGCCTGCTAAGGAACGGCTGGCCATTGTCTCTGAGTGCGCGCTCCTGGGCTCAGATTCCCAATGGCCCGGAGGAACAGAACCATGGCTCCGAGCTTCACGTGTTCCAGGGGGCGCCGGGGGACCCCAGGATTGCCCACCCGGGAGTGGCTGGGGCTGAGTCGGCCCGTAGTCCAAGCGCCCTGGCACCAGGTGAGCTGCCGCCCTGTGTCCTGGGGCACAGATGGCTCAAAGAGTCGCAGCAAGTGCCTCAGGTTTGTCACACAGCGAATCCGTGTCTCAGCGTAGGCTGGAACCCCATGCTGCAGACGTCCTGGGATCGGGAGTCTGTATTGTGCTCATGTGCTCCCCTACTTCCGCTGACTCCCCCTCCCCCGACCATTCTCTGCCCCCCCCGGGGTGGGAGTGGGAG